TTTTTCTCATTTTTTCGATTTAAAAGAGTTGTTAGATAACATGCAATTTGAAAATAATTTACATAGACACAGACACACAAATTACAGGCTGTTGCTATAGCCTCTCCAAAGCTTACAAATTCAGAAAATAGGGTATTCACATTCTCTCAATGAATCAGAAATGTAGCAGTCCACATGACAAAGCTGATGACTAAGCAGACACTCAAGAGAAGAATTTTCAATTTGGGCTTTAGGAAAAATGCTGCCAGTAGACTCTAAAAATCTAAAATAATTATCACTTAAAGTCAATGTGGAAAGCTAATTAAAATATTTTAGGCCATTAAACTTTTTTGGTGGTGTTCTGTGATTCATTCTTCTCCACACCCATCCCTTTCCATGTTGCAATGTAGCCCAGTATCAAAAAGATATCAAATATCAGAGGAACTCTTTAAAAACCAATCCTGGAGTTTCTGTTAGTTATTTTCCATGATACTGTTATTGCACAGTAACTTATCTTCTGAGAATAATCTATTTTGTGCTGACTACAAAGATTTAAAAATTTTATTATAAATGCCATAAAGATAGAGCTTTGCATAATCCGCCGCCGCCGCCGCCGCAGCCGCGCGCGAAGCGAGGTGAGTGTCCGCCTGCTCCCGGGCCGTCCCGGAGCCGCGGCTTGCGCGGGGCCGGAGGAGGAGGTGGAGGCGGCGAAGGCGAAGGAGGCCCGACCGCGTCCGCGTCCCCGGTCCCTTTGTGGCCGGCGCTGCCGGGGGCCGGGGCGCGAGCGCGCTCGGCGCGGGGTCCGGGTCGGGGACTCCGGGGCCGCTGGACACGCGGCGTCTGTGGTTGGCAGCTGCGGCGAGCAGCGAGTTTCCGTCCTAGTTTGACATTGAGTTAGAACCGTTTTTCTTTAGAAGACGGAAGTTTGTTTTATTGACAAAAATATCGCTAAATATGGCTTCTTGGTTCGGCCGTGTGTGGTACTTGGAGCCGCGGTGCCAGCCCGACCCTCGGCGGTCGGCGCGCCGGGGGAGGGGAGGACTCGCCGGCTGCCGAGGGAGGGGGCTTCCCGGGCGCTGCCCCCGACGGGGACCCGGCCCTGAATGAGCAAAGGTGTGTGGCTGGGAAGTAGCGGACTTGAGATCCTGTGGCAGCCCTACCTGGAAGAATGAATGAATGAAAATGTCATTTCCTCACCCTAGACTCCTACTTAAATATTCAAATTGTGACCATTTGCATCGTCATTGCCTGTCTCACCTGGCTACCTTTCTAAGTGAGGGTCCTGTCCCCCTTCCCCTCCAGTTTATGACCTTGGCCTAATTCTCACTGAGCAACCAACCCTTAAACCAAACTCGGTTATTATTATTATTTTTTTGCAAGTGTGGGCAATAGAGTAGCTTTTGTGATTGTGAACTGTTGCTGGCGGGCAGAGAATGTCACCTTAATCATACCTTGTGTGTAGCACACTGCTATATAATCCTGTCCAGAACCCTGGGAGCTAGGAGGTCTCGTCCTCATTTCACAGATGAAGAAGTTGCCCTGAGAAGTTCTAACTTTCTAGATCACTGGCTAAGCGGCCCAATTGGGATTCCGCCGTGGACCCTGTTAGTCTAGTGCCCTTTACCTCACATCTCTGTCTACCCCGGGACTGACCAGTGTGGTAACCGCAAACCACATGTGGCTATTTAAATTAAATTTTAAAAAATCAACTCTTCAGTCACACCAGCCGCAGTTCTAAGTGTTCAGCAGCCAAATACGTTGAGTGGTTACAGTTGAACAGAGGTGATCTGTGCCATACGTCCATTTATCCGTTAGATAACCTTTGAATGTTCTGTCAATAAGGCACAATTTTCAGTCCTGGATGAACTGTGATGCGGAAAAGAGACAAAATATCTTTGCCTTCATGGAGTTTGCATGTTACATGTTAGTTTGAGGACGTTTCCGTGGTACATCAGAGCCTTGCTGTTCCAGGTGTGGTTCATGGACCAGCAATATCCTCATCACCTGGGCGTCTGGAAGAACTTCAGAATCTCAGGCCCCACCCCGCACCAACTGAATTAATACTACTATGTCCAGATTCCTTGTTGTTTGTGTGCACTTTAAAATGGAGACACGTTTATTCAGATGTTTGTGATAACTCAATGTAATGATGGTTAGTTTGGAACTTCTTTTAAGCAGCAGGCTGCAGGACTCTTGGGAGCACTCTAAAGTTATGCAAATACTTGTTAAATGCCTGGCTTCCTCCATGGAATTTAAACTTTATGAGACCAGAGATTGTGGCTTCCTTTTCCAGCTATGTATCCCTGGAGACTTTATGTGTCTGGAAAGCATTAGGCACTTAATAAATGCTTGTTGAGTGAAATAAGGAGAAAACTAGGATAGTCACAATTTGTTAATTCCAAGGAATCACAAGGGAGGTAGTTCTCATGGCATCAGGTGAGAGCATGGGACCCAAGTCAAAATGAAGAGAGATCTTTCTGTAGCCTTTTCATGGAAGCCTCACCTTGGCTGGAGTTTTGCTTCTGGCTCACTTCCATGCCATACTTCTCTTTTTAATAATATAAAATATTAAGACATTTGAATCTTATACGTGTGTTGATCCCTCTGATACAGTTTTTAAAATTTATACTCTGGTTTTTCTTCAAGTCGTATAAATCTTTCACCTTTTGCAATTTTTAAAATTTAAATTACAGACTTCATTTGGATTTTTCATTACTATTCTCTTTCTGTTCCAAGGATCCAATCCAAGGTACCACATTGTAGTTAGGCATCTTCTTTTTTTAAAAAAAAAAAAAGGTTTATTATTTACTTGAGAGGTTGAGTTATTGTAAGGCCGCCACAAACCACACCAAACACCTGAGTAAGAGAAAGGGTTTATTGGGGGGAACCTGACGGACCAGAGGGAAGGGGTGAAGAGGGAGGAGAGTGTGAGAGATCGAGAGACAGAGAGACAGGCAGAGAGAGAGAGATAACAGGAGATGGAGAGAAAGAGAGCTGCGTGTTCAGGAACAGGTCCTTTTAAAACTTTGCCCGGGCCCGGCAGGGAAGTAGGAGCTCCAAATCCCATTAGGATGGGGGTGGGATTGACACCAGTGGTTGGGCCTTGTGGCTACTTGGCTTCCAGCAGTGGCTGTGAGGGCTAGAGCCTAGGATGGTGTCAGGACTGTGCCATTTTACTAACAGTTAGAGACATGGAGAGGGAGAGACAGAAAGGTCTTCCATCCACTGGTTCACTCCCCAAATGACCACAAAAGAGGGAACAAGGCCAATCTGAAGCCAGGAGCCAGAAGCTTCTTCCAGGTCTTCCATGTGAGTGTAGGGGCCCAAGCACTTAGGTTATCTTCTGCTGTTTCCCCAGGCCATAGCAGAGAGCTGGATTGGAAGAAGAGCAGCCAGGACTCAAACTAGTGCCCATATGGAATGCCTGCACTGCAGGCGGGGGCTTAGCCTGCTATGCCATAGAGCCAGCCCCTAGGGCATCTTACCTTCTTAGTCTTTGGTGGCTGATAACTTCTGTCTTTCCTTGTTTTCCATGACTTGGCAGCCTGGAGGAGGAGTACTGTCCTGGTGTTCTTTGGTGGGCAGCTTTCCGTACATACATTTTCTAGTTCTGGGAAAAGGCTCTTAAACTCAAGAGAGTAAGGGCATAACAGGGATAACCCCATTTCAGCTCCCTCTTATTTGTTTATATAATGCATATATCTCTTACATAACAACAGTGCAACTTTAGTACTTTGTTTCAGTTACAGAATTCTTGGATACAGTTCCTGATTGGTTGAGATTCAAGAGTGTTACAACATTACAGTTGTGAATTACCATTTTAAAATAAATTGAGTTTTATTTTTATGATGAATTAAGAGCTGGACTGAGATCGAGAAGAAAATGGGAGAGAACAGAAAAAAGGCAATAGTTCAGGGTGACTGTGGTGAAGAGAATGATATGATGGAAGGAGTGGGGCAGATGCGTAGAAGAGAATTATGAGTAAGTTAGTGTTCATTTATTCAGTGAATATTTATTGACTGGTTAAGGTGTGCCAGACCCAGTGCTAGAGACTCAAGATAATTGGGGAATGGATAGCATTAAGCAAATAAGCATGCAGATTAGTATGTACGTAATTACAGCGCGTGATGAGTGCTATTAAATAAAAGAATGCTGGAGAGAGTGTTGGAGGATGGATGCTGCTTTAGGTTGACTGAGCTGGTAAGGAAAACTCTGAGTAAGTTAACATTCTAACTCCTGCCTGTGGCTTGAAAAAAAATTTTTTTTAAGTTTATTTTCATTATATTTGAGAGGCAGAGACCAAGATGGAGAGAGATTTTCTATCTGCTGGTTCACTCCCCAAATGCCGGGCAAAGCAGAAGCCAGGCACTGAGTCCAGGGCTCCTATGTGACTGGCCAGGATGCATGTACTTTAGCTATCACCTGTGGCCTTC